GGGTCTAGATAGCACTTGGGTAGGTCTGATTAGGACTTTGTGAGGGACCGGGTAGACTCGGGATCATAGGACTGGTTAGGACTTTGTTGGGGGCCATGTAGACTCGGTGTTATAGGTCTGATTAGACATAATCAGGTCCGGTTAGCCTTAAGTTAGGTCTGGTTAGACGTAATCCGGTCTTAAGGTAGGCTGTGTTTCGAGTCTAATAGGTCGGTTAGACAAAATTATGTCTAGGGTAAGTCCAATCAGGTTTGTGCGAGAGTCTAGGAGGTCGGTTAGGTAGAAATATACCTTGTGTTAAGTCCAATCAGGTCTGGTTTAGAGTGTGTTAGATCCGTTTAGGTAATATGTACCTAGAGAGATGTCCGGTTAGACTTGGTTTAAAGTCCGTTAGATCGGGTTTAGGTTGAATGTCTAGGTTAAGTCCGGTCAGGTCGTGTTCTCTAGGTCTTGTAGGTCTGATTATGTAGAGAAGTACCTAGGTTTAGGACCGATAGACTAGGGTTAGGGCGTGTCAAGCACGGCTAGGTAGAAATGTACCTAGGGTAGGTCTTATAGGCTGATCTTAGAGATGATTAGGTCTGTCTAGGTAGAAATATACCTAGGGTTAAGTCCTCTAGGGTTCGGTCTCATCCCTCATGTCATGTTGCATCACTTCTAGGGTCGGTTAAGTCTCTTCCGGGTAGGGTCGGTTTTAGACTCTTGTTATATCATCGTAGGATGATGGAGTTAGATTGTCTAGCTCGGTATACCCTGAAAGGGGTATGGTGGAAGGACTAGGGGTCTCGGGCAAAACCCGAGAAATCGGGTTGCAGGAGTAGGCCAAGGACCAGGTGGAGTGAGTTGTTCCGCGGGTAGGTAGGGATACTACATGAAGGATATGTAGATCCCGAATGACGAGGAAGGGAGAGTCCGAGGTAGAAGGACATATGACCTCGGAGGAGTAAACCGAAGCTGCTTCGGTTCTCGGTGGTAGGTCAGGAGGTGAGGTCTCCACATTTAGGTGGAGCTTCCTCGGGTAGGATGCTCAGGAGATGACGTGAGCAGGGAGGTGTCGGGTTTTCACCGGGTAGAGATTTCACCGGGTAGAGTCGGTGTAGGTTGGAGCGCTAGGACACTCCCTCTCGAGGTGGAGCACGTGCACTCACGTGTCTCATTCTCGGTGGAGCATCGTAGATGACTAGGATCGTTTTCACGGGACAAAACCGTGAGACAATTCTAGTTGACAGGTTAGGGTCCGTGGGTAGAAGTCACTAACTCATAGGTGGTGTAGGCTCTACGGGGATCCAGGGCTAGGTTGTCTAGCAGGTTCGATAGTATGACTCAGGTTAGTCTCGGGGTAGTCGGGTTAGACTCGGGAGACGGGTAGATGTCGGGGGTTAACTCTCGAGGGTGCACGGGTGAAGTTTAGACTTCATCGGAGAGAGTTATATAGACGGTCTAGAGAGTCATAACTATTCGAGGTTATCGTTAGTCTTCGGAAACGGGAGGTGTCGAGGGACACTCGGACACTCGTTTTGGGTAGACTAGGATTTGCGTGTATATATTTGTTTATCACGTTGAGACGTACTTATGGTACGCTCGGTAAGAAATCTATTAGAACGGCACGTTTGATACGCCTAGAATATGTCGGGAGGTAGAGTTACTAATGGAAGTAAAAGGGAAGCGACAGCGTGCTAGGGTTGTTGGCGTGGTTTCTTCGGCGTTTTTCCGGTTGCAGGTTTTGCAGGGATTTGCAGAAGAAGGTGGAGATTTGTGGAGTATCTTCAGCAAATACACTAGCTGAAGGAGAGGCTCTCAAAGCCTCCAGGTGAGTCCGAAGGTTTCAGCAACACGGAGGGGCAATTCCGTCATTGCCATCGTTTAATGAAACCCTAAGGGTTTCTCCTTTGTTTTTCATTCGCGTTTTTCCGGTTGCAGGTTTTGCAGGGATTTGCAGAAGAAGGTGGAGATTTGTGGAGTATCTTCAGCAAATACACTAGCTGAAGGAGAGGCTCTCAAAGCCTCCAGGTGAGTCCGAAGGTTTCAGCAACACGGAGGGGCAATTCCGTCATTGCCATCGTTTAATGAAACCCTAAGGGTTTCTCCTTTGTTTTTCATTCGAACGGATTTTAGGGTTTGGTGTGTTTTTTACGGCGGAGAGAAACTCTCTCTTCCGGCGAGCTTTGCTCGTGGTTTTCCGGCGCCGTTCGACGGTGTCCGGCGGTTCTTTCGTGTTGTAACCCTAGCTACGAACGCGGCTTCCTCTTCCCGAGACGTAGGCCCGAGCTTTACGCTCGGTGCTGAACTCGTACATCTCGTGTCATCTCTTCTCTCTTTTCTGTTCGTGTTCAAACGAGTGCCGGTGAGAGAGTGGTGAGAGATCGAAGGCCGGGAACCACCTACAAACTTTTTTTTACAAAATGAACATGTTACCTTTTTACACATGAATTTTCCTATTCAAAGTCATCTCAAAATCAAGAGGACTCTCGTTAAAAGGAGAGTCCATCTTCCCAATACGTTTTGTATATCACAGAAATTGGAACGTCACGTATGTATGTATGCATATGTATATACTTTCTTATACACTCCCTCCGCTGTTGAATAAATATCGTTTTATAGAATATTTTTCTCATTTAATAAATATCGTTTTAGATTATTTTTAAAAAAAAAGTTCAATTTCATCCTTAATTAAAAATAGTAGTATTAACGAAAATGTGGTTTAATTAGAGTATATATATTTTTTTAAAAAATTTGGAAAAAAAAATCTAGAAACGTCATCTATTTGTAAACGGAGAAAGTATTAAAGAAAAAGTATTAGCTGCATATAAAACCAACCTCGGAAATAAAAGTACGTTTTTATTTCTTTTTTTTTTTGTGGGAAAAAAAAAGAGAGAAAACCTATTCTTCCACGTTTTTAAAACCACTTGTGGCCGACCTCCCACGTGATTCTTCTTTTATAATTCACATGGCAAGTCTTCAATTTCTACACGAAAAGCACATGGGGTTATATCAAAACGAGTGGCGCAAATCGAAACTTTTCATACACACACGCATATACGTACGTATGCATATACATTATACACGCATATATATATCCAAATAATATGTAAGTACAAAGTACCATCCAACAAAATGATTTTTTGAGTATATATTGAACCAAAATGTGGACTCAATATACATTATTTTAAACTTAAAAACACTATATATATATATATATATATATATATGTATATAAACCATATAGTTTGCTGTACCTTTTAAATGGTAAATCTACTAACTATTATGTATATTTCGAGATACAATTCATGCATATATACTGGGATGGTCATGTAGTTGCTATGTAGCTTTGAGCCATGCCGTTCTTTGCTAAAGTTAAAAGTTTGGTACACATTAAATCCATATGCCATGCTCGACCTAACCTTATGTCGCCCACCATATAATACCGGTCCGACGAATTATTTAAATTCCGGTTCTCACCATAACACATGGGTTTAAACAACTCTTCTATATAGCTTGTTCACAAACAATACGTAATCGTGAACATTTATCGTTACTCAATCGATGTTATTAAGATTTGAGTACAGAATTTTCTACAACAACGTAAGCTTTTTCGGATTTTGGAATTTGTTTTTTGTTAAATGGTTAACTCTATTTATATACTCCCTTCCTGTAAACGAGGTCGTGGGTTCAACACCCAGAGTATGGAGATTCCCCTCCTGCCACTTTCGGGTGTTTCACATCCCACGTGTGTGTTGCAGGGTCGTGCGCGTGAGTCGGGATTAGTCTGGGCCTTTGGGCTTGAGATCACCCGATTATCAAAAAAAAAAAAACTCTATTTATATACTCAAAAGAATTATACTGTTTTTGGAAATTAATATGGATATAATATTGTTTTAAGTTGATCATGTAGGAATTCGTTATTTACGTCGTACGTCTTCTTGTTTAGGTTTTTGGAGTTAGGTTCACGTCGGGCTCTACATGTTGCATGGCCATGCACAAAAATGGACATATGGTCGAAAAAGGTCACCAAAGGGTGTACCACACTATACGTTTTTAGGAGTGGGACACGTGTCCCCTGGTGATAGGCTGGATTAGGTTTTTGTATGTCCATGGGTGGTACGTCATGTGATTTCTACACCATCCCACATGTACATATACACGCTAATTGCGTACGTATGTACACATTTGTGGATCATATAACATTAAATTCACTTCTTGATTTCAACATGTATACCCTTTAAAACGATTGGTCTATGTTTAACGTTTATACCATTTTACAGAAATAGCTACTCTTAACGAATTATTTTGAAATCATAAATTAAAAGATAAAAACCAATGCATACAAAAATTTATCGTCTCTCACATACCCATGGAATTTAGAGTTATATATTCAATTGATAGGCAAAAAAAAAAAAAAAAAACGTTCTGAATAAATCATTCATGCGTATATTAATCAAAGCAAAAATATTCAATATATATGCCACAATTATCCAAATTAAAAACATATAAATACAGACACGACAACAGTTTTTTTTTTTGGTAACAGATACCCAAATGGAGGTTCATCGAGAGATGGACCTAACATAAAGTGTACCCATTTCACTAGTTAGAACTGTTCAACCTTGGTACATATGGGAGAAATCCCCGATTGAGTTGGTTGAGTACTGGACCGTTTAACTTCAAGGTTAAGGTTTCGAATCCTCTTAACCTCCTCAACAATGAGTCTATCGGTTATGGGCAATCTAGATTGATCGACATATTTTGTGTGGTTTGCAGACTATTATACAAAAACACGATTTTATCCAATGCACACCCGAAAGGTCCCACGTTATAAAAAAAAAAACTTGGTATACACGATAACATTATGTAGTGATAACAGGTTTGGTTATTAACTATTTAACGAGGACAAATGATCAATCCGAAATACATGGTCCGCTCCATTTTTTTATTTATAACCGCGAACAAAGATAAGAATATATATATATATATATATATATATATAATATAATATAGTAATATATCCCCCACCCCTTACCTTAAGTATATCACTAAACATGGAAACAAGCCACATTAAGTGGAAAAGTACTAACCATGAGGTACTTACATCAATATGAAAGTATATAGCAGGCCTAACATGACCCTTTTTTTTTTTTTTTGCGTAAACTAATTACCATTAAGTAATTGCATGGACCATATATCATCCATGGTCCAATAGTTTTCTCCGGTCTGATCGATCTGCATCGGCATTGGCATCAGCCATTCCGACGACATAGGAGAGTCGTAGTTCAGTTCCATGTTTCCTTGATACGACGTGGTCGGATAGTATGTCTCCGTCGCTTCTTGCTGTGTACCGAAGATTTGGCTCGAGCCCGCTTGATCGTTGATCTCTGAGCCCTGTGATCCAACTGACGACGTCGTTTCGGCTTGCTTGATGTATTTTTGGACCCTTGTCCTCCAAAAATTCTTGATCTCGTTGTCGGTTCTTCCTGGGAGATGCTTTGCGATTTTTGACCATCTAATGACGATTAATTAAGAAATGATTACATAATCAAATAAAGAGAAATTAATTATATAATATGATGAACTAATGATTTTGAGGTTAGGTCCAAGTTGCATGCGGAAGCCTGGCTGGAGCCCAAAAGTTACGGCTTTTTTTCCCCACACATCTTTTTTTTTTTTTTTTTGAAAACGACGAGGCTTTGTAATAACTGTATTTTAGAACAATATTCTGATAATTTAATTATTTTTATGTACATATTATTCTTCTGGTAATTGTAAAAGTTAGATACACATACACACAAATACAATTATCTTGACGGGTAAAATCTTTGATACGTGAAAATATTACTAACAAAATAAATTATATAATGTATCCAAATATTTTTGGAGATAATCCGTAGCTTCATGACTTTGGTATCTGTTATTTCTGGTGTCTCTCCTGTTTGTGCCTAACACTTATTTACTTAACCCTAAATCACAAACAAGTTAAATCGCTCTTTTATTAAAATAAAAAAGTAGTATAATTTATCTAGTCAGAGTAGAAATATAATTTAGATTGTACTTTGTTACCTCGGACCACTGTCTATGCTTAGATGTAAAAATTCAAATAAAAATAGAAAGAAAAAAACATAAATGAGAGTCTTTATTTGTAGCCATGAGTTTTTGGGAATCGGCACGAGGGTTAATTTTAGTAGCCACGAAATTTCGGCACGTGGTTAAAAAAACCGAACTGATGGCTGAGAACAGCCCAAGTTAGTGGCCACCAATTTGCTCAGTCACCTAATTGCTTGTACTTTATTGTCTTTAAAAATAGATTGAGCGATCTTCAAAAGTATATATACGATCCAAAGTTCGAAGATTTTGCCTCTGTTCTCTCGTTACAAAAATCATATATGCATCCGCATATATATATATATATATATATACACACTGTTTATGTATGCGGGGATATATGCAAATGTAACGTCATAATACTGACCTGTTTCCCCACTTTGCATGCAGTTCCATGATGACGAGCTGCTCCTCCGAAGTGATGTTTCCACGTCTTAAGTCGGGGCGGAGATAGTTCAGCCACCGCAGCCGACAACTTTTTCCGGTGCGTTTTAGACCTATACATACACCATTATTATTATTATTATTATTAATTAATTAATTCGTTACATATATAAGCATTAATTATAAGGTGCATATGTTATATATATATGGAGCATTTTCAAGATGAGAATACGTTGCTCTCGTTGGATCTAAGCAGTAAGCAGTGCTAAAGTTACTTGAGTTCTGTATTGCCATTCTGTGGTCATTTGCTTGTGGAGGGTATAAATACGAACATATATAAACCTTAATGTTTTTTTCCAAACATCAAGAAACCCTAATTAATGATTTTGATTATATTTATGCAGAAAGATTGTGTTTTAGTTGTCACCCACGACCAAAAAAAAGGGTTTTGCTTGAATCTAACAGATTAAAGTATCATGATATACACAAACAAATCAAAATATTACTTTTTTAATATAGAAAATATAGTGTATACTTTTATGTATCTTTAGGCTGTATGCAATAGATGTATATAATATATATGTGTATAAGATGCTTCAAAAAATGATGAAAAAGCTTTTCATCAAAAATATTAAAAAAGCTAGCTAGGGTTGTGTGGAACTAAACACTCTCTACGTGTGTGTGTATATATATTTCATATTATAGTACATAATGCATCATATATATGCATATAGAATCATAGTATAAAGATGTATAATGATATATTAATACGGAGATGTAATATGAACCTGCGGCTTTGGCAAGAGAGTTCCAAACCCCTTCGCCGTGGTTGGAGATGTAGTTTATTAGAATCAGATCTTCTTCCATCGTCCATGGCCCTTTCCTCACATCCTCCTCTCCCGAAACAATGCCACTTCCTCTCCTCTCCATTTTTATTTATTTTCCCTGCAGATTATTATATTATTATTAGTATATTATATGTATTCACTATATTGTCGATCTATGTATAAGATATTTTTAGAGAGAGAAAGAAGAGGAGAGAGATATAGATGGTGATATTGAGTGTGGAGTGAGGGTAGCTGCTGCTTTTATAGAAAGAGCTTATAAGATGATATTTACTGCGTCATTAAGAACCATTAATTGAATCTATTAATACAAGATTAAGAAAATTAATTAAATCAATTTCCTTAACAACTTTTCTTTTTTCTATAATAATTGACAGAACACATGGAAGTCCTCAAGACCTAACTATCCTCTTTTAAGAATCTCATATATAGTTCACGAGCCAAATCGGATTCAACTCGTTTTTAGACGAGTTGGATCAAAGATTTTTGGACACAATGATTCAAGTCGGGCCAAATCAGTTCGCGAGACATTGCAAGTAGAGCTTAATATCATATTTATCTGTATTTGAACGATAGATTACAATTTTATGTTTGTATTATTTGATTTCGTCATAGACATACATGCATATATATACACACTTGTATTTATATAGATCAGAATATAATTTTTTTTTATGTTTTGTATAAATATTTGTTGTTCGAACAATTCTATTCTTATATACGATGAATGATTTCCTTAACACTAAATAAAATATATGTAAATAAATCAGATATAAATTTATTTGTAAATTTATTTGGTTAGATTATGTTTTATTTGATGTGGAGAGTAGTATTACACAAAACAAGAAAACAAAAAAAAATGAAATTTCATTTATCAAAAATAAAATGAAATTTCAAAAACTTTTAAATGTTTGTTTATATTTGAAATTTTGATATTGATATTAAAGATTAAAATAATATTCAAGATTAAAAATGATGTTTTTTGTTGACGCTGAATAATCCACAAGCCAAATAATTTCGAGCAAACTTCGGTATTAAAATATTTACTTGTGTTGAACTCGTAAGCCGGCTTGTTTGGCTAGGGAAGTTGAGATAGGGTTAGAATGATATTTGGCTCATTTTAATAACGAACCGAGTTGAGGCAAGCTCAAATCCTACGAACCAAGCGTCTCGTATTACACCCTTATTGCATGGCTTAGCATCCATATATATATATATATATTGTATATGAGCATGTGTATATGTGTGTGACATTATGTATATCAATGTGTATATAGATTCTGGTCTCTATTGATGCATTTTTGGAGCTCCATATACATAGACATGCATGCAAGGCAGTAAATTAGCGAACGTACGTTAACACATACGTAGACACGTGTCTCTGTGTTCATGTAATTTTTTTTAAAGGTTGGTCTTATATATAAAAAATATTCTTACAATGACATCTGGAAATACCGAGATCATAGCTCATAATAGCAAATCCAAAAAAAAAAAAATTAGAGAATAATACCATAAGTAGTCACAGACGCTAAACGTATCGGATCCAAGTGGTGAACAATGAATTATTAGAAGCTTGATGCTTTACATATATATATATATATATATA